CCTGCTTCGGCAGGAGGGTTGGACTAGATGACCCACAGAGGTCCCTTCCAACCCCTACCATTCTGTGATTCTGTGATTCTGAAGTGCAGGAAGCAAATAGTATTTAATATGAGCTTACCATTTAGACAATGAAATTCTCTGGTCAGGCATTCTTAAGAACTAGCTTCCAAAAATGATTAGAGAAAGATATGAACAAAAAAGAATTTAAGTTCCTCCTATAATTCAGTAATAAATGACGCAATATAGCACAAATTATCTCTTAATGTGTTACTTTCTCCCTTTCAGCAGTATCGGGAACAGATTATCTTCAGGGGTGGAGAGGAGGGAATAATTTCTTGAGACTTATTTGAAGTTCCTACGTTCTGAGAATATGCAGAGAAAATTATACATTTCAGCTGTTTTTTGGGAAAACTGAATGTTCATATACATTTTTAAAAACGTTTAAGTTTTTGAAGAAATATATTTTAAACTTTAAGATGCAACTCCGAGTCCTGTATGCAACAGTGATATCCCATTTTAAGGAATACTAGTAAATGGAAGAGTTTGAGTTGTAAGTACACTGTGTCATTCACCAGTTCCAAAATTCAGCATTCTTCCCCTCACTGCATTTGTACCATTCTGGAACAGTCTTGTTACTCAGTCAGGTTTCAATGCCATCAGTGGAAGAACTGAAGTGATATCTGAATATCTGAAGTGAAGTCACTATACAGCATAAAATGCTTATCCTGGTAACATGGGGAAAGAGGAATCCAAAATAGCAGTCTAGTTCAATACAGACTGTGCAGCTTCCTTGAGAAGTGATGCAGCTTTGTCCAGTTCTTGTTCTGTTTGTTCCACTGTTATCACTACTCGAATACTAGAAAAAGAAAACCAGAACATGCACAGTAAACTTTACTCCTTGCCTTCATCTTTTGTACTAATTTTAAGACAATAAAATCACTATCTCTAGGGAACTGAAATATGAATTCAAATTCAATCAGAAACAAGACACATGACTACACAGAAATAGTCAGACTACTTTTTTCCCCCCATACCCACCACAGAAACTTGACTGTTATCTTTTTTACCTGCAGATGTGCAGCTCATGGAAGGTTGCCTGGTGGCTGAGATTCAGGCAGTTTTCATACAATTATTTCAGGATATTAGTATCCTGTAAAAGTCACTGAAAATATACCTCAAAATAGAGCCTTTCCCATTTTTTACATGACCAACTATTCAATCCAGTCTACTAAGAAAACCCCATCGTTGTATGAAAAGAGAGAGTCATATCCAATAAAATGAAATAATGTACTGACTTTCTACTAACCTGGGTGGAGGAAGACATTTTTCTTCTTTCTCCAGATAACGGGCCTGAGTTAATGCAATACCACTATTCATGCACTACAAATAAAGAAAATACAGCAGTCACGAATGTGGGAAATTCTTATGGCATATGCTTTGGATCACCAAATACACATGACTAACTTTTATGAGTTTGGTGTCAGGATAACTGCAAATTCTTTACCAAATTTTTTTGAAGGAGGTTTTGAAGGTTGTGCAAAATCATCTGTAATTTTAATACAGCATAAACACATAAAACATGTTAGGGTGTAGCCTCTTCAGCTCTCATCTCCAAGTAATCAGACAAAAATGATGTATTAAGTAGGCTACTAAATCATATATAAGCATGTTTTCAAAGAGTTGATTACTTCAGAGTTTCTTTTTGTTGTGTAGTCTTCTTTACCTGGCACCTGAAATATAAAACTTCCTCATCAACTTTCATCTACTTCATGTGGGAGAAGAAAACCATTGTGGGCTGAAGAGGGAAAAAATACTACATACAAGACTTGAGATTCTTCACACAAAAAAGCAAGTAAGCTAGACCTCAAATGTTTAAAACACATCACCAGAACTCTGTTCAAACGATAGCTTTATTCTTATGAACATCATAAAAGTTCTCTAAGCAACAGTTTTATATGCAATTTTAACTTGAGTTTTGAAGTATATAACAGGAAATAGTTATTTTCTGAAGCAAAAGGTTTAATATATATTTTTATCCAGTGCTACAGACCTAATCATTTCCAGCAAGAAATGTTTAGAAGATCGTCTTTAATGTAGCCCTACAGTCAGCAAAGAAACTGAGTTTCTTGCACTTCTGCTGCAAGACATTCCAGTAAGTTACCCAACAAGCCTCCCCATCACATGCACTTCATTCGTTATTCCCAAAGGCAATGATATATTTTAATTGCTATGAGGACACTTACATAATCCACAACTCTTTTGAGTAACTTCACATCATTTTCTCGGGATCCACAGCTCTCTTCCAACTGCAGGTGCAATGCTGGTGAAAAAGATTCTCCCACTACTTTTAAGCCAGAAATCCTAAAACAAATAAAAAGCCTTTAATGCACTTCCTATTTGAACACGTTAAAGTTCTACATAGTAAGTGTTTCCCCTTTCTAGATGGTGAGTGAGAAGAGAGGGATATTTCACTTTACTAGTAGTAATGCAGACAAAAACGTATGTGCATTTCAGCTTGCCATAGGCAAAGATAACAACATTTATCAAGTGAATGTCTCTCCTAAGGAGTTTACTAAATGTAGTTTCAGCAAGTTTATGTACAACAGCGACTCCTCTTTTTGCAGGAAGGATTAATGATTCAGAAAAAGAATCCTTATTAAGATGTGGGAGAAATGTGTTAGGCCTGTACGTTGCTGATAAAAACACAGCTAGCTAACTCAAGTCTTTGGAGTCTATATGAACAAAATAAATAATAATAAATCTTTTTACCCACTTACATGATAAGAAGCAGCAAGGTTTATTTTTTTTGCAAGATTTCTGATTTTAAATTATTTCCTGTAGAAAATGTTTACAACATCATCTGTCATTTAGCCAGAAGCTCCTCTAAAACGAGTTATATTACTAGAATTACCCCCACATCTGTACATAGGGACAGTTGTTAATTGGGTTCCTACAATTTGATTGAATCATTGACATTTGATTGCCAAAAAGTGATTGACATTTGATTGTCATTGTCCTGACATGTCATATCACTGTATTCAGGACTGAGTTATTCCCCTCCAAAAACCTGTATCCAACATACAAGCAAGACCTCTGGTCTCCAAAATTAACAGGTCTCATAAATCCACGTCTATCATCAGCTGTAATTCTGACTTCCTGACTTTGAAGAGCTTGCCTCACACACACTGTAAGCTTATACCCTTGTTTTCAAATAAGTTTTCTATTTTTCCAAAGTTCAAGACCCAGTCAGTGCAGAAGAGATGTTAAAACCATAAACTCCAGAACTGGACCCTACAGGAGAGAGAACTGGCACTACAAACACACTGAATCAACTATAACCTTGAAAAAATAAACTTATATTCTAGCACAGGAAGTATCCCGCATTATTTCTACAATGCTATTTCAACTCACAATCCATTCCAGAAAGACAAATCCAACTGATATTCTTCTTCAGCCACAAAACAGCAAACATTCTGCCATCATTCACCTACACTTGCAAACTAACCAAACACAGGCAATTTCTTTAATACACAAGCACACACACTGCATTTGTCTTACTACTGCATGCACATCTATGGATCGGGGATACAACATTTGGTAACAAAGGGGAAGGAAAAGCAGTCCAAGGTCCAGCTACAAGGCAGAAAGGCAATACACAGTATAGCCGTATAACTGATCTGTTCTTAGTTATGTTCCCTAGGAGTGACCTGACTCTAGAAGTAGCGTTCTACAAGTAGGGAGATGAGAGTAGAAGTCCTGTAAAGTTTCACTGTAATTTAAATCTATTTGCTGGAAAAGAGAGTGTAAGACAAGCTACAAAACTAATCAGGTTTTGTTTAGGGAGACACAGTATCAGCTTCTAGTTACAAAATAGAAATAATTCTTTAATTAAAATAGATAATCATAAATTGCCCCCCTCCAAAGAGTAAATGAGAAAAGATGAGTAGGAAGCAAGCGTTGTATCACTTTCATTCAAACCAAGTCTTTGCTGGAACAACATGCTTTGTATTTGCTATACACTTACTTATAAAGGCTGCTTAAGTTTCAAACTTAATTTTAATCTTGAAACTACTTCTGTCAGTCACAGCTGTACTAAACTTAACTACATAATTCACCTTACCAAACTATCTGAAGAAACCCAGGAGTTTAGTATGAGGTCTTCTGACAGCAATACTTTAACCTTTACGTATAGTGTTAACCATGTTTTTCTAAGCCTCTGCCAAATTAAGATTCAACAAGTACTTCAGAATCCAACGCATGAACACTGTAACTTTCCTGAAATCAGAATTCACTTTCCTAAGAAATGCTGGGAAAGTTTCAAACAAAAACGTACAACTTCCACACAAAAAAAGAGAGAAGTCCGAAAGAGCTGATTTTGAAGTTACAAAGAAGCAAAACTAGCCTCCTGAACTCTAAAGCTCCTTTTAATGTTCTATGTTTATTAGTAAATTAAACATGCCTTGGACTGGTTTCTGGCCCTGTGGTGAATGGGTATGGAATGACTCACATCCACGCTTTTAAAATCTGAGTTTCCACGCCAGGGAGGCCACATCCAAACTGACTACTAGGAACAGCTCCTGGCTCACGCCAACTCTTGACCCATATCCAGGAGTCCTTTCAAAGAGCGCTGCTTGTCCTGGGCCAAGCGCACGCCATAGATCACTCCAACAGTTTGACAGCACCCAGGAATGCTTCCTGATGTTAACACACCATTACGGATGTAGCCACGGGGAGCTCCCTCCTCACAGCTCTCCGCACCCTGGCTACAAGGCTGGGCTGCAGAACGGAGTGGCAGGACCAGGCTCCTCACAATAGGGAACCCTGCGTAGCGCAGCTGCCCGAGGAAGCATTTCCATCAATTTTTGCCAACAGAAAACTGGAATGAAGTCTCCTTGAAACACTGTCAAGTTTCTCTGGAAGGCAAAAATCTTTAAAAATAAATCTGCTTTTCCCCAATGAAAACTTGCTTTATTGGAAAATTCTCAGCCAGCTCTAGGATATGCAATAAATAATGAACTATTCAAGGGATACTGCCTACTACTGTCCTGCTTTTAAAAAAATCACAACATTCTGTCCCATCCATCCTGTCTCCTTGCAACAGAGCTTCCTCGTTTCTATTTACTAAGACACCAGGTATTTTAAAATAAAAGACAGAAATCTACTTTACCCAAGATTGTTAAGAAAGTTAAGAATATTCCTGATCCATATTAATCATCCCATCTCTTACTGTGTTTTCTTATGCTTTATAAGCTGCCATAGACAACAAGAAAGTAGTTCTAAAGAGGATTCAGAACAATTCTTCCATTTCTTCCACAAACCGGCACTTGGCTTGTACCCGGAACAGGAATAACCACCAGTCATCACTCTAGCCTACAACACTACAGTTTATTCCCCCACCATTTATCCACAAAAAGACCAACAATTTTTTGGAACGCTAATCATGCACTGGTCCTTGATATATCAAGTCCTAAATTTCATGGCTTAGTTACACTTTGGCTAAAAGAAAGATTTCCCTTACTTTTGATTTGTTCCTCTCATTGTATTTGTTCTATTATGAGAAAGGAGAAAAGTTGTGCATTCTTTCCCACTCTCTTTGTGTGCAGCTCTACCACCATTTTATGCTCTCTTTTGAACTAACAGTTAGTTCCACTCTATCATAGTAAGAGCACCATAAAGAATTGGAGTCAAGCAGCAGCCATGGTTAGGCGGAGAAGATGAGTGCATTTAACATCACAGCATTAAAAAAAGCTTTGCCTCCTCTTCACACCATCACACACTCCTTTTTTTGTGTGGTTATTAATTAAAAAAACCACACTGTTCCCTGCAAATATTAGTTCAAATCTTTTCTCTGATGCTGCTTTATGGAATTGTTAGGACATTTTCCTACCACAGGGCTACCGAGTTCCCTGGTGGTGTTAATTTGTCAAGTTCTTTCCCAGTATGACGTAGAAGAACTGTTTCCTTTGCAATTTTTTTTGAACTCTGTATTATCACACCATTTTCCATAAGACAAAAATACAGAAGTCCTATTACAGACACTCAGGCGTTCTGCCTACTTGTTGATTTGTGACTATACAAATCACTGAATTTACGTGAAAAAGGAGAATTAATCACAGCATAGAAAAGTACCAGCCATGGCTTATTCGCTTCTGTTTTGCAGTGAATACTAACAAGTAAAAGTTTGATAATTTTTTTCTTACTTTTTTCCCCCCCCGTATTTTAAATTTATTTATAATTATCACCTAAAAAAAAACAGGTAGAGAAGAATACTACTATTATTCTCCTTTTAGCTCAATCACAACATTCTATTACTAGCAAAGAAGAGACTAACAGTTTTCAAGTTATTCTGAAATTTTAATTTCAAGTGTAGAAGTGTATGTGTATCTTTGACCTGAACGCCTATCCATTTTAAACCCATATTGAAACAGAACACAGCCAAAGGAGACAAGGATTGTTTGATGGTAGGATTATTCCAAAGTAGTTGAGCGTAGCTAAACTTCTAACATAAAACATCAGCTAAGCAGCAAGCTGCTTATTTGAAATAACAAGCAACTCACATTGAAGTAACTAATACTACAAAAAAATCAGCTGCTATAATTATAGATTTTGTATGTGTTTAAATGTTATTAATTTCCGTAATATGTAACAGAAAACCATTGAAGAAAATGCTCTGTATAATACCAGCTAACATATCTATTCTCCACATTAAACAGTTGTTCAACAGTCACAGAGATTTCTACAATTTTTAGTATCAGAACCTGTTCGGGAAAAAAGCAATTCCTCAGTATAATCATCTTTTAAAACAGGATAGTGTTAGGAAATTTTAAACAGAATCCTTATTTTTCAGATAAATTCTTGCAGTTTTCTACGTGCCTCCAGAATAATGAATACTTCTGTTACTGTTTAACATTTAAGTCTCATATATAAGAACAATATTGTACTGAAGGTGACTGCAAGGTGCATCGAGCTGTCTGAAAGAGTATCTGCTATGCTGCACCCCAAATGCTTTTACTTAAGACCTTTTTTTTCCCAAAATGTTTATCAATACTTCGTACCACTGAAAGCTGTCACACTCATACAGACTTAAATGTGTAAAGAGCTTGCAAACATCCTTCCTAGCATTAAGTTATAATTTCATTTCAATACCTGTAAAAGGGATTTTAAAAACTTGGGACTTTTTAGTAGCATAACAGAGATAGTTGGAAAAAGATGACTTTCCTCCTTTAACACATACATAATTTTGTGTGCGTATCTCAGTCTAAGCATCTGCAAAGCCAGAAATAGATTTGCACAAGAAGAGTTCTTGAACATTGGCATTATAAAGGCATGGTCAAATCAACAACCACCAAAACCCCCCCAAAAAACACACTTACCCCTGTAAAGCTTTGTGAATTCGTTCGCACTTAGCCCGGAGAGTCTGAAAAATGTCTACACACACACACAAAAGTAAAGACTTAGATATGCTGCTTCTACTTTACATATCTGTAAGTCTAAGACTGAAAAAAAAGCATTTGTAAGGAAAACTGAGAAACACGTGTCTACTGAAGTACTAAGTCTCTTCACTACTCTTCATACTGTTCCCGATTCCCACTTCTGCCAGGAAATGACAGGCTTTTAAGGTCTGACAAATGCATTACCTCCCTTTATCTCATTACTCCAGCTGCACTGGTTCATGATCATATGCAAAGGATGACACAAACACTTGCTAATGGGATTGAAATGGCAAGTCCAGCTTCCTTGTATCTATAAAATATCTAGAGTCATGCAGACTCTGCTCCTTGATCCTTTCACCAAGTCACTGCAGATTCTTGAACAGGAAACTTTTATTCCTGGACCTGCAAACCTTGGCTCTTTTCCTCAGTAAAGGCTGATCCTCCACTACAGCTAACTGTCCCATAACTTATTAATTTCTTCTTGCTTTTGTTTAACTTCTGAGGACTAGGCATGGGCTACCCAGTAGTTTTTATTGATTTGTGACAAATTAAATATTGCATCTCTCTGCAGATGTCCTCCAATCTGTTGATGCTAATAAAGATTAAAAACAAATAGACAAAATTGGCCAAATCTGTGTGTTTCTCATACACCTCTCACCCCCTCCACCCATCACAAAAAAACCACAAAAAACAAACAAACAAAAACACCCCACAAACACACATCACACAAAAACACAACACTTTCTTAGGTTCTAGCACCAAGGGCAACTCTCTGACTCCTTGTGCTGCAATTCCAGCCTGCCAACTTTATCCAAATGTCCTGTAGTTGGTCCTGCCAAAATTGCAGGTGTTTGCACCATGATTATTCCTGATATTCTTGCCTGGATGCTTACTTGGAGAAGAAAAAAAAAAAAAAAAAATGAAGTGCAAGTGGAAAGGAAAGGGTTGTTGAGTCCTGAGGAAATACATTCCAATTTGTTTATCTTTAAGCTTCCCTTTCTCGATTTGTCTTGAATGAATTTGCTTTCAAGGATGAAGTAGATCACTAGTATAAAGCAAAACAATAATTTCTTATTTGCATAGTGGTAACTGTTTCTGTCCCTCCCAGCCTCAACTAACTCACTTATTTTCAGCTGGAAGAAGGAAAGGGGAGGAAACACTGAAGAAGAAAAGCAGTATGGGAAATTATACGAAGAAAAAAATCATGCATGTAAAATTAATTAGACGAAAGAGAGAAGACTCAGAAGAGTAAACGGGTGAGGAATCAAAGTAGAGAGAAATATTAGCTATTAGTTTTGAGTGAAGAAAGACTGAAGAATAAGATTTTCCTGAAGTAAGTACCTGGATTATCTTCCATAATATTCAGAGCCTCAATAGCAGCAGCAGCTAACAAAGGAGGTAGGGATGCAGAAAAGCAATAGCCTTGACCAGACAGTCGCTGTGGGGGGAAAAAAAATACTAAGAAAGAAAAACGTTTTTGAAATTCACTTTGTTTATAGCAGTATAGACAATGTTTTAAAAGTTAATTCACATACGTCTAAACAACCTCTCCTCCACACTTACAGGTTCATGGAAGGATTTAAAAGTAGGTCTCCAATTAATCTACAATATTTCATAGAACCAGACAGTTTCTGTATGCAATCAAATGTTGCATAATAATTTATACCACAACACTCATTGCAAATTGATATTACTAACTCTCATTTTTAAGTAACTAATCCTGCCACACCATACAAAAATGAGACCTGGCTTACCTGATGGTCAATAATAAAAGATCTGCCACAGCAAAATCCTCCAATAGAAGCCAGTGAATTTTCCATGTTTGCGCTAATAAGATCTATATCATCAATCTGCCAGTTAAATTAACAAGTTAAGAGATGCTTTTGATCACATCAAGACTATTTCAGATAAATCTATTAAAGATGTACCTTGTTTTATATTATCATAAATACTAGAGAAGATTCACCAAACTATAACATATCAAAATGAAGCTACAATTGAAATAACGATTCTAAGCAATACAAAAGGACTTTAGAAATTGAGATGTATGGCTCTGCAGATAATTTACGTAGATTTACATAGAATCACTCTCTTCCAGGCAATGCAATGTGACAAACACAAACTGAAAAAACAAATAATATAGATACCTGTGACAATTCCTCAAAGCGCTCTGTGTGACAGTGTCCTTTAAGAATGTAAGTAGTCCCACTGCAGTCAGTGGGAGTTAGAATGCGATTACAATTGAGCATAAGCCTAGTTAAATGAGTGTCTGAACCTTACAGACACACTTGTCTTATTTCACTTGTTAGTTGCAAACATCTTTTTTGGCAGGCTCTGTAATGCACACCTATGACCACTGCTACAAACTCCCATTCTGAGTAAACAAAACTGAAAGATTATGTTTGTAAACAAATTTAAACACAGAAGTCAATTAATCAGATGGTACTTGGCAAGCATCACGGCAGCACTGTTTGCTTCCTTTTCTAAAGCTGTTTAACATTCATTTTCTCTTTCCCACACTTGGTATTAAGACATTTAAAGTGAAAACAGCAGAGGATAGGGGAAGACAGATGAATTCTCAGAAACTGGTATTTCGCTTCCAAGCTGAACTCACACACTGTCAGAATGTAGTGAGAGATGTCCACACTAAGACATCGGCAACCAGAAGAGTACTTCTTCCTTGCCCAGCGCAGGTGGCTGTGATAGCGAACAACCACAACCATACTGTTTTGGATTTCCAGAGCACTTCTCAGTTGAATAAACACCACAAAAGGGACACTCTTGGAAAAAAAGCTTGGCTTAATCTGTCAGTAAAGTAGTAAGACAACATCTTTGAAAGGACCATCAAAAGCTTTATCCTATTTTTCCCCACTGGAATAAAAGGCAATAGAGCAAAGCAGACTGTCTATACACCAAGAAGGTTTTTCTGACATACGCCCTAGCCTGCAAATATTTCTGTGTAAGCATGACACTTTTAAGTGTATGTGGCTGGAATATACTGCAATCATCATTTCACTGAGCAACCAAAAAAAGGATAAAATTATGCATTGTAATAATTATTTTGTTACCTTCCTCACTAAAGGTAAGTAAAATTATTTCAAGTAAGCATATGAAAGAAAAGGCCAAGACCTGAACGCTTTAAGACTAGCCAAGAAAAGTATGTTTAAATTTCTATTGTAAACTACGAAACATTGTTAATGTCACAGGTACAAGCAATCAATAGCGCAATTTGTTTCTGTATAAGTCTCTTGTTCACAGCAAATCTCAAAAAAAGACTCTTACGTTTATTCCAAAGTGTTCAGTGATTCCTCTTCCATGTTCACCAAGGACTCCAAAGGAAAGGCTCTCCTCCAAAAATATTCTAACTTTATATTTGTACTTCAATTTTATCTAAAACAGAGCAAATGATATAAAATACAAGTCAACCCTACCAGAATTTGGTAACAAAACAGGTGGAGGAGATGAGGTAAAGACAGACAAGTCCAGTATCCTGAATACTGCAAAAATGTCAGCTCTACAGATATGTTCTGTCATTAAGACATTTTAAAAGCCTTCAAAATTTTTCCACCATGTAAGATTAGAGTAAATATTAAAAATGTTCATGTACCAAAAATACTTCTAATTTTTTTTTTCCAAATAGGCTATCAAGTACTTTCAAGATAATGCGTTTTCCCAGCATCTCTTCCATTATCTACAAGCACACAGCCTACACAAAAAGCCAATTTATGCTGAATAGCAAATGTTTTCCTTGGAATCACTGTTTCAGACAGCTGTGTGAGGGTTTCTTTGAAACCTCATAATTTTTTTTTAGCTATAACTTAGTTTAATGATTTAGTATCATACAGCATACCTGAAAATACAGTATATTTTACGGGTTAAAAACTAAGACCGTAACCAGATATTCACTGGCAAGCCTCATTACATACAGCTTCAGAATGCCAATCCTGATCAGAAGTTTCAAATCAATGTCAGATTTGGGATCGCCATTTCATGAATGTTTCACAAAGCAAGAAGGTAAACAAAAAAACTGCATGCAGAGCTTTTCTATGTAGGCTGAACTATATGATACTACCATTGATTCAGCTACACGTTTTCATATGGAGAGTTTAAAAGGCAAACTGAAACCACTTACCAATTCTGGAAGAGGGCAAACATCTCCTGTGTTCATATACAATCCTTCCACTACAATAAACCTTCGAGTTACACGGGCCTTGCGAGGATTCTTCAGAGAAAGATAAGGTTTCAGTTCTTATCAATCATTACTAACAAGCAAAGCTCTGAAGACTTTGTGATAGGGAAGGACAGTAATGGGAAGGGAAGGAAGACAACGTCTTTTTCAAGAGGCTTTTACTTTCATTTGAACTTAGTATTCATCATTCTTAAAAGTTGAAATGCTTCACTGGTCTAGTTTTTCTTCATTTTGTAATTAATTTTAAAGCTTTTAACTCTGACTCAAGATTTAAGATGCCTTGTTCTGCAACAAATCATAACCAATCCATCTGAACTTTATTCATAAAATACAAACAACACAATTACAGAACAAATACTACAAAACTTGATCTCTATTCTATTCATCATTAGTCTGAGCATTTAGAAGGCTTTTCAACAAGTGGTTTGTGCACCAGGATTCTTCACAAACTTCTCACAAGTACTGTCTTCATAAACACAATGCAAAAGTACCCCTAACATTCATGTTACAATCTCCTTGTCTGATTGCTGGACAATATTGGCCACATGAATATCCTGCACTGGTTTCTGTTTAAACTTCAATGGTATGATTTGAGTTTCATCGTTTTAAAATGTCATTCCCCTGATACTTACTCTAAAACTTAGTGAAATCTTCTTAAGAGGATATTAAATCATGCTTCTTACCTTTTTCAGTTCTTGTAAAAATATTCAGGGAACATCTATTTGACTGCTCTGAGTGGTAGGCACCAAAACTAGGCACAGCCCACTCCACACGCTGGACCAACTCTAGCGGTAAGATCTACTCCTTCCTAGTCAGTATGTTTTAATTATACACACATGGTCTACATTAAGCTCTTGGCCACCAACTTTATGTTCACATTCAGCTAACTACATTAGGAAGCTTTAACCACGTAGCTAAATCAAAGCACTCTGCTCTAGCAAACCAAACGTGTTTCACAAACTGCATCACTAGTCTGTCAACCACATCTGAAAGATCATGTAAATATTGTGTGACAAAATGCATTTTCCATGCAGGTATGTTAACTAGTATGTTATCTATAAATTTGCTATTAAGCAGATCCATTACTGATTTAGACTGACGTTAAGCTGATTGTAGTCTAATTATGCAGTTTATCTAGTTTACTTTTTCTATGTGTTAGCACAAAATCAGCTTTCTTCCAATTGTCTGTAACTTTCCGGCATCCTGTGAATCAGGCACATAATGGTGATATCTCTTCAGCTAATTCTCCTAACAAGTTATCTGTACTCACTGATCCTGATTTTAGTAGCTGCTTTTGGACACCCTTTTGTATTACTGTCAGAATGAGAAGCAAGCCATCAAACTGACCCAAATTTTTCAAGAGAGAGAACTTAAGACTTAAATGCAACATAGGGGAAGAGTCTAAAGGAAAAAAAAAAAAGAAACAGAATCATGTTGGTTGTATAAATTAAAGGGCTAGGACTAGTCGCTTTTGTGATGATTTTAGGGTGTTGCATTCGAACTGATAATTAACTTGCATGACTTATCAGGTAAATGCACTTACACAAAATTTCTGAAAGACCAAAAAAGCACTCCATAATAGCATTTAAAAAAAATAAAATAATCTCACACTTCAAGTCACCCGCCCATAAAGATACTTCCCACTACCAATGCCTGTGAGCTTGCTACCAGTGGTTACGCAGATAAATGCAAATAAACTTTTTTTTTTTAAATCTATCTAATTACATAAGCAACATTAACTGCTCAATAAAGATCTATGAAAACCAAATAACTGCCTATAAGCATTACAGCCACTCAATTACACAATCTGGTAAAAAAATGTGGGGAGGTGGCAGAAAAGAGTACAGATATTTCTTCAAAGGAAAGGTACCTTTTGATCTTCAGTCTCTTGTTCTTTCAACAGTCGTTCAAGGTCAGCCATATCATTATGCTTAAATAACTTGATGTTACTACGAGATGCTTGTAATCCCTTCTGAATAGCAAAGCAGGCAGCTTCATCTCTGTAAATATAGCAAGCCCTTCTAAGTTTGCACTCGGTTTAACAATTATTCAAAGAAAGCTGGCTATTAGGACTGTCCTGCTTTTGAGCAGATACCTGTACTTAGGTGTAGTTAAAACCAGATTTATTAAAACATCACATATTTTATTTACATTTTGAAAACTCAGTTCCAAAGCTTCTCAACTTTCCTATGCACTACAATCACTAAAGGCAAGCCAACGTTTTTTTTTTCCTTGAAGAGTACACTGGTCCTTTTGTTTGTATGACAGCAGTTTATCCGAGTACAGCATTCCACGGACCAGGTACAATACCATGGGAATCATCCCAGAAACCTCTCACTCCATTTGGTCTGGGTCTTACACAAAGGGTGCAAAGATGTGCCTGTAACACTTATAATGGACCTCCAAACTTTCAAAACCTATGTTTTAATATCCTTTCGGAATTATTATCTCAGTGTTCAAAGAACTATCCATCATTTCTACGAGTTGGAAAAGCAAATCTCTGAGCATGATGGGGTATGCAGTTTCACAGTTGCTTAAGTCGAGTAATCTTTTTGAAGTGGCAACTAAATCAAACCTTCCGCATAGGTTACATGCAGTAATTTCAACCAAGCTGCTTTTAAATATGGTAAGATCTTTTGTCAGTGAGAAGCTGAAACAGTACAGGAGAGCTCAGGATACACTGGCATCTTGAATACCATGCGCAATCCTAGCTATTTGTCTCAAACAAGCTGACCCAGAAAATGTTCCAAGACGACCAAAAATCATGATCAAAGTTACGAAAGAACTTCTGTAAAAGAAGTCAAACAGGCTGCATGCCTTACACTTGGAAAAGAGAGGACTGAAGAAAGATTTTGTCAGACAAACACAAAAGTATCAGTGTATTGTGGCTTAACCCCAGCAGGCAGCTAAGCCTCACACAGTCACTCGCTCACTGCCACCATGGAGAAGGTGCATCAGTTCACCGTCTACAAATCAAGCGCATCAATTGAAATTAGTAGGTGTTATACTCAAAATAGGTATTTCTTTGTATTTTTTCACAAAATGTTCAAGTTAAACTGTGAAATTACATGTCATAGAAGCACTGTGGATATTAAAGATTTACAAAGGTACTAGAAGTGTAGGAAGACTTAAGAAAAATCCATCAATTATTACTAAATCCACATCCTCCTCTTCAGCTCAGGATATTTTAAGTATTGTTACATTGTTTCTCCTGTTTTTATACTCTTCCCTGGACAAATTATGACTGGCTACTCTAAGGGATCAGATACTTGGCTTGCTGAATCTTAGTTTGACCTTGCATAGCTGTTCTTGTGTTGTTTTAATATGTACCAATATTTATCCAACTAATCCATTGCAAATATGCATGAAGGGAACAACTGTCCTGCAAGAAAGGTGACAAGTCAGCAGCAAACAGGAGAAAAGGAAACATGACTGTACAGTTTCTTAAGCAGAAAACTGGGTATTAGACTTTGCTAGCTCTTGTATACACCAGTTTGTCATGTGTTTTTTTTCAGCTGAGTATCCAAGTCTGCTCTTTCATGACAAATGCAGTAACTCATTTGATTCAGAGTATTTAGCAAAGAAAAGATATTTGAGCTTTGTACAATAAAATACTTAATCGAAACCTGCATGATTTTCTAAACGGTTAACTTAATGTGATTAAGAATAATGAAAGAGAAAAACTGAAAGGCAAACTCTTTAATATGGAATTTCCCAAGTAGAAAACAATACTTACACAAACACAATGTCTCCTCTTTTCGAATATGCTGGAATAGCACTGGCAATTGTTGCAAATCCATATGAGTATATAATAGCTTCCTCTGTCTTCATGAATTTCGCTAGTCGATCTTCTAATTCTAAGTGAACATCTATTTGAGAGAAAAATTGAAAAGATCTTACATGGTTTACTTGTTTTCATATCATTCAAAGACTACCATTGCTTTTAGCAATCATCTAATTGAAGGAAACAGAATGTTTATTTGTAAGAAGGGTCTAACAACAAAAAACTTCCCCCAAACCAGCTGCAACCAATCCAGCATTACTTAAACTGACAAGTAACCCAATATTAATCTGAAACTTTGATAGATCTGAAAATATTTATGTAATGTGGTTCTCTCATGTTCTTCTGCAATGGTAATTAAAATCCACTTGTGATTACACCACAAGTAAATGATGCAGCATTCCTGGACTGTGACTAGGGAGCACAGTTACTACAGTCAGACAACAACTAGCTATGTAATTTATAGCAATTAATGAGGTTCTCTTGGCAGACTGTCAGTTCTTCCAAGCTGGTGCTTCCACTACATATAGCACAGCTATCATTACAACGGAAATCTGCTCTTGCCATGTTGCAGTTGCATACCATCTCCTGAACACACTTCAGCCAACTGAAGAGGTCATCACCTCCACACCAGAGATCACTCACCCTTAAAATAAATTGACACAATTACACACAGAAGCATTTCCCAAACCAATTTCATCAAAGTGACCCATGTTAGGAAAAACCCACCACTAAATAGAAAGATTAAGAAGGGTAATACCACATGGTGAGTGGACTGCTTGCTGCAGAAAGGTGACCACAGCATTAAAAGTATTCTTCCTAAGCAAAATAACCTCTATCTGACAAACTGTTATTTTAACTGTGTAACTCTTTTGCCACAGCCCACTTCTGCTAGCAAATGTTAGTCAGAGAATTATGCATTTTATCAACTGGAAATAAACAAGATTAAAGGGCAAACAGAGGTCCTTTGCATGTGACTTTAAAGATCGCCACCAGCCAAGTGCCACCTTTTTGCAATTACGGAAAGTTGACTGAAACTAAAATCAAATGAGGCAACATCAGTTAAAAATACAGATTCTTGAACAGCCTATGAGGCAGAGTTATGTCAATATTGTTGTTTCTAGCCAGGTACCAACAGCAAGGGTGTAGGAAGAAAGCGCTTTGTAAAAATCTTGACTTTGCCATACTAAACAAATATCTAGCATAACTATTCCCCAAAAGGGCACATCCACCTGATTCACATATTACACAATAAAAGCAAAAGTATGTCTTCAAACAACAGTCTCCCAATGACAGTCATGAGCAATTTTGTCCATAGACTGCAGAATACAAATCTTCAATAATCCTTTGCTAATGCCTAACTGAGCATCAAAAAATGGAATGGAAAGGAATTCTAGTATTTGGTTTTCCACTGGTTTTAAATGGAAACCAAAAGTTTAACCACTTATTACTTGAAAGTTTTCTTTTGCTACCTATCACTTTGATCCAGGTATATCAGATACACTAAACATTTGGAGAAACCTACAACAGCCTTTCTTCTCTAAAGTCTTTGGAAGAAAGGGTACTAATTTGATTTATACCTTTTCCAGAATCTTTCTATCTTTTTCGTTATTGTTACATGGACCAATGAAACAATATCCAGTCAGGCACCAAAACAGGATGGATGAACTTTGATTCAATTATTGAACAAAAAGCCCAAGAAAAAAAGAGGCTGGCCACATGGCATTTAAAACATGCAATGTAGACAACATTCAGTGAAAAATGTTTCTTCTTGAAGCCCTGCCAGTGGAGAATAACAAATTAAGGGAAACAAGGACTGAACTACTACTTTCAGTGCTCAGCTATCGATACCTAATGGGGAAAAAAATGTTTGAGTGTGAAAGACCACCTACATCCTTTAACTAAAAAACTGGAAAAGATGACGAGACCATCATCATTACGAAATGAAAACTTGCATGCTTCTCACTGACCTGTACTCAACCAGAACCACTACTACACTGAGCAAAGGCTAGGGGAAAATAGTGGGCAAAGGAAACACTGTCAGCAATAATGAGCTAACAAACATAATCAGATTTGTGTTAAGGAAATAAATTTTACAAGCCTAGTAAATTTTGCCAAGGGCAAGAACATTTACGTTCAGAACAACATACAGCATACACAATTTGACAGATCATTACATAAGGGAAGAAATGCTTTGTATAACTGTGAGGTTGAAAAGCTTAAGACAGTATTAAGGCTTCGCTACCATTACACGGCGATAAAACCAGAATACTCTCTGACTCTCCTATTCTTCACTGCAGTGATTTGCTTTAATCTGGTTACATCACTTGCATTAGCCTACCTTAAGTGAAAGCTGCAAACACTACCTACAGTACATTTGCACAGAGGAAGATATGATCAGAACAGCTTTCTACATAATTATGAAACCTAAATAAAGCTATTATTGCCAACAACTACTATGAAGTTCCAGTTCAGTGCCTAGCATGTGCTCGCATGCAAGTCAAAAGTAGAAGAACTGAGACCAAACCCCACATCATTTTGTATATATTTTATTGGGTAGCCAGTCCTGATCTTCACACTGGTACAGATATTGTGGCTGTTAGGCAATCAACAGCAGCCCAAAACCGGCCCCCATCAGGAATAAAGTCATACACCTCTCAGCTGTCATTATGGAGAAAATAACCATAAAGTTTCAGTTATGTGTGAATACATGAGTATTTCAAGCTTATCATAGCATAAAGGCATGGGTGCAGTTTTCAGGGATAGAGCACAAAGCAAAAATCTCTTAACAGGGACTCACTGAATCTACGAAATCTCTTCAAACAGGCAGACATACGAAAAATTAAGTCTCTATTCAAAATAAAATATAACATGGTATCTACGTTTCAAAATAAAGAGATCTCTAATACTGATATGAAATATCAGCCCCTAAGAGGGGAAAGTTCTGAGTGCAACAATCGACAACCATCGATTAAATAGTACATAGTTAAGTAAGAGGAAACTAGGTAGTTCTGGACACAACACGACTCATTTACAAAAGTCGCAGTACATGATAAATTGTGTGAAAAGTTTGAGGTGTACAACATTACTGACGTAATAAGCGTTTCTTATCAGAGACTCATAATCCTGCAATACTCAAATGTTTAAAATCAAGGGAAAATTGGAAGACAGCTTGGAATCCAACAAGGACAGCAGGTGTTCATCTCAAATTTTAAACCAATTGTCTATGTAGTGGTGGATACACCGGAAGGCTGTGCTGCCATTCAGCGAGACCTGGACAGCCTGGAGAGCTGGGCAGAGAGGAACCTGATGAAGTTCAACAAGGGCAAGTGCAGGGTCCTGCACCTGGGGAGGAACAACCCCATGAACCAGTACAGGCTTGGGGCAGACCTGCTGGAGAGGGACCTGGTGCGCTAGTGGATGACAAGTTGACCATGAGCCAGCAGTGTGCCCTGGCTGCAAAAAAGGCCAATGGGATCCTGGGGTGCATTAGGAGGAGTGTGGCCAGCAGGTCGAAGAAGGTTCTCCTTCCCCTCTACTCTGCCCTAGTGAGGCCTCATCTAGAGTACTCTGTCCAGTTCTGGGCTCCCCACTTCAAGAAAGATGAAAAATTACTGGAGAGAGTCCAGCAGAGGGCTACAAGGATGATGAGGGGACTGGAGCATCTCTCCTATGACAAGAGGCTGATGGAGCTGGGCTTGTTTAGTCTGAAGAAGAGAAGGCTGAGAGGGGACCTAATAAATGTTTATAAATATCTGAAGGGTGGGTGTCAGGAGGATGGAAGCATAGGAGCAACAGATTTGTTCAAGATCACCCAGGGATCCTATGGCAGGGCAAAGAGGTGAGCACAACTACCCCAGAATCCCAGCCCAACAGCTTTACTACAAGGCAACGTCTGTCCTGTTGAGGAGAACCAAAACCATAGGGCAATGCTCGCCTGTACAAAGAAACTGAGAGAATCCTAGCACAGAGGCGCTTCCACATGCAGTCAGAACTACGCTCTACAGCCCATTTCAGTTCCTCACTGCTTTGGGGTTGTTTAAGGTTTTTTTAAGGTGGTTTTTCCATCACACACTTTGCTGGGTGTTGGTCTGATGTGTGTAAGGTCGACAAGAGGGACAACACCTAGAGCTCACGTGACTGGTACAAGCCTCAGCCCCCGTCTTTCAAAGAAAGCTTTTGCCAAACATAAAGTGCCTCCAGAGGACCCCCATGAATTTCTGGCAAGTTCATTACAAAGCATAAAATGCTCCAGAAAGACAATGTCCATGTTTTTATGCATGGAGAAGAGTTAGCCAGCCTTCTCAGGACAACAGCTCACTTCTTCCCTCTGAGGGTGACGGAGCACTGGAACAGGCTGCCCAGGGAGGTTGTGGAGTCTCCTTCTCTGGAGATATTCAAGACCCAGCTGGACAAGGTCCTGTGCAGCCTGCTGCAGGTGACCCTGCTTCAGCAGGGGGGCTGGACTACGTGACCCACAGAGGTCCTTCCAACCCCTAAAATTCTGTGATCTATAAAATACAGTATCTCAAATAAGTTAATGTAACATCATTTCTTCACTATATCCCCTGATTTGTGAAATGGAACATTTACCCCAAAAGTTCAGAAGCCAATGAACAGCAATCAAACTAAATGCAAAAGCTATACAGCTTGGATCTTCAGACTAGACCTCCAAAGAGGCCAGGAAACAACCCAAAGAATCTCTCACTTACCAGAAAAAAAATCAACTATTAACCACTCTGTTTTGAATAATTACTAGAAAGAAGCAAAGTCAGAGATTTCACAAAATGTAAAATCATCCTGGACTCAAAAGGCAGGAGGCATTAGTCCACAGGTTTCTTTAAGCTTTTCAGAGTTTTTTGGGGAAAAACCCCACAAACTATGTATGAACTCCAGTAGATCACTGCTGAAACATGATCAGTGAGGGAATCTAGCCTCCTAAAAGCTCTCTACTAATCAATGGGCTACCACCACCTTCTTTAGAAATGAATTATGGTCCTAGGCTAATGAGCAATCTATAAGATTGATATCAAAGACCCAACTTCGCTCTGATACATAGACTTTAACAAATCAAAACAGGTACAGCACTTGGTTGATCACTTAAAGGACTAGCTTGATTAACTGAGAAAAGCTCATGTTAGTCTTGAATTCAAGTCAAAGCTACAAGAAGCTAACTCTATGAAATCATCCGAGTACAAACACACTGTGAATTCCATCACCTCTGGGAAGAGACTGGAAAGTTCACAAGAACAATGAGTGGATGGTTTTAGCCTGCTACTGTGCAGCTATTCATGTATTACTCTCTGGTTTCCATGCCATATTTCAAAATACCAGTGCCTGTAAAGAACTGTTCCTAGAGGCTGATAGTTAACAACTAACTTACTGCTTCTTAAACAGAATGAAAAAACCCTTAGTAACACCTCCTCACGTCATAAAATCTCCCAATTACAGTTATCAGTAAAGGAAAACTTCATTCTGACTACAGCATTAGATAATAGTCTTTATCATAGAATTCACACTGCCCTCTTGTGGTCTATTTAGAAATTTATAATTAATTTACAATTAAATTCACCGTGTGTGATTAAATTCTAATACATTTATTTTCTCTTTCTACTATGGTCACCAAATCTAAAACAGATTTTATTTAACTTCGCAAGTCTCCTCCAAGACCATCACTACAAAGAGTAAGAAAATTATTACTAACTAGTAATTAGCAATTACAGTAAAAAGTGTGTTAAGAGGGTAACTGCTCTTCATAGTGATAGAAATAATTTGCTGCTTATATATAGGACTATTTTGGCTGACTTACCTAACCAGTCTGAACACCTTTAAAGGCAGATCAAAGAAAGTTACTTACCAAAAGTACCATAGAATCCTCTAGGTCCACAAGTGCCAACACCATACTTCTTCAGAGATGCCTGGGCCGCACTCTTAAACAGAAAGGAATTACATCAAATATTTATTCCTACACTAGATTTCTAACTCTTCTATACACCTCACATTGACAATTCTATACCAATATACACAGGCCAGTTCTTCCATCACGTGACATGGCCTGCTTTACAGAAAGTGTAGTACTATACTGATTTCTATCAATTAATTTCACATCAAAACTAGACAACTGTTTGAGCATCATTCATTGTATTCTGATAATTAAGGACATCAGATACTAATCTAACTTGACAATCAGCTAGTATGCAGTAAGTGCAACAGACTAAACTTTAGTAAAAAGACAAACTTAAACAGCACAAAATGAAAAGGTTTATGATCTTCCTTGCTGCTTTAGAAGTGCACTTCCTCGACAAAGTTTGTGTTTTCTGAAGTCCTTCTTAATTTCAAGATAATATACAAAGTAAAAGAGGAATAATCACACAAATACAATAACTAAGAACTCACCTTAACCTTTTCATTATCCAAAAGTCCAAGAAAGTTAAACGATGCGAAGTTTATACATTCCTTGCCATTAACAGTGATTATATGGGTGGGAGGACTGGAAAAAAATTAAAGACCTATTATGAATGAACAGTTGCCATTTTCATAAACAGTCAAAGAGTATAGGAGTTCTGTTTTTCAACAGTAAAAGGCACACAGCTTCTTCAAGATTCCCACTTTTCACTTCTTCCTTTGCAGCTGCCAATCATTATTTTAAGTTCAGTGTCAAGTCACAAATATGCTACCATACTCGGCAAAAACTGTATGCCTGTAGTTTAATAAAGAAGTCGTAAATACCTTCCCAAGATATTTAGCTTAATGATTCTTTGTTGAAAACTTAATTAATGCAAAGATGACTTCTGAAGAGATAAATAAAGCTTCTCCTTTAAAACCAAAGTTGTATGTATTTGAAAGAAGGAATACCACAAATAAAAAGGAAATTACTTACTTCCATTATAAAAGTTGATTTATACTCAGTTTTTTTCATAAAGCAAACCCACAATACCAATGAGTGTGAAAATAACCAACATTAACAAACGAACAAGAGTACAATACATATGAAACAAGGGGCAGAGAAATTTTCTGCCCTAAAAAATTATTATTATTTAGGTAAACAGTTTTTAAAAAATTGAAGATAAAAATAGCTATTACCCCTTTAAACACAAGCATCGCATCTGTGTACTGTATTCTAAAAGCAATCCTGTTTTGGCAGCTATACATTTCAATACTATAAATCAAAAGTTTCAATTAATCATTCAGTGTTGAGAATTCTCAAAGTTAAGCCAAATACAAAACCTTCTGTCTGCCCATTTCTGTATGCTTTGTCAAATATTATAGTTGAGATCCTATACTATTCCTCAAACACAATAGTTTCAATAACTTTTTCTCATGTGGAAACCAGCACTGAGCAATTTTCCAATCAAAATCAAGCAGCGCTGCTCAAATGTCAAATGCTTGTGCACAACTGCTCCAAATCCGGTTGTTAACAATATTTAAATGGGTAGTATATTTGGTGTGCAAAACAAATAATCTTTAAGTCCAAGCTACTCACTACAAGTTAAGAAAAACACTGAACTGCCTGAACTTTACTTAAAAAAATGCAATGATACTGTTTAATATCTGCTGACTTTAAAACTTTAGCACATATTACTTCAACCAAGCAATTGTAAAGCTTTGGAAAAACAGCTTGGAAAGCTTTCAGCTAACATAGTGCACGTGCAGTGCATCTTCATCACTGTCGTTCCATGACATTAAACTGACATGAGCTGAACCTGACCCCACAAAGCACCAGTCCTGCATCACTGCAGTGCATCTTCTGCACAGAAGCAGCATTAAACAGATGTTCAGCAAACTGCTTTGAGGAACTGACTGCCATTAAGAATATACCTGCACCTATTACTCTGTCTTGCCCATTAACAAGCTGTACCAATTGTTGGAAGTCCTATTAAGTGAATCAACTATTTAGGTTTGCAGATACTCACAAGAGCAGACCTATACTTCCGCATTTTGGCACTAACACAAGGTTCAGTATATTCCTAGCATACTACCAAACCTTGTAAATTTAGAAGAATTTGCCCCCACAGCTCCATCTCTCAAACCTAGAAAACACACTAATGTTCACCAACAACTTGACCCTAATTAAGCTGCAGCCCTCATGAAAACATGGCCACACTTTGCTATCAGAATTTTATCCAACCCTCTAAAGGAGCATTTATGGTTAGGCAGAAAACACTCATGGAAAAGTTTATTCCAGTGAATAATTGTTACCAAAACATGGATCCTAACAGTATCATAAAAATCTTCCTTGCAACATCAAAATCAAGTCTTTGCAAGAGGGAAAGAGAGAAACATTTCACTTCTTTATATTTTCACGTATCTCCCTTCCCCTAGTATAACACAGATCATTAGGTATCATGGTTAGGGACAACAGTTAACAGATACTGAGTGATCCAGCTGAAACCGTAAATAAAAATACAATTCACACTATATTCAAAGGACTTGTAAGTAAGCCCTTCAGAAATCATGTCTTTTATGGACTGAAAGCACTCCATCTGTACTTGGACCACTCACATCTTCAGTGTTGCATGTATTGAAAAATCAGTCACAGAAGATGATAAAGTTAAAAGCCAGACCATTAGTGCCTTTTTATTTTAAAGGAAAATGAGAATCAGCATGAGAATTTTGCAGACATACTGTTTTAGGAAATAGGTTCATATTTCCTGAATGAGGTCTTGTACAACTAAGCTACCTTCCATAGGTTAGTTCACAGAAAGGGTACCACAAAAAGTCACCGATTTCTGGACTGTGACCAAGCTATCATGGGTAACTTGACCGCTAAATCAAGACTGATCACTTTTTTTGTTTGGACAAGTCTCTGCATTATTGTCTTCGCTATCATTTAGCAACGTTACTGGGATTATGCAAGTGTTCAGCAGAAAGGAGCATACTAACATAAGGCACAAACTGCCTTGCATATTGAGGAAGGAGGAAGTCTGCCTCTCACACACAGTGGGTCAAAATTTTTACTGAAATATTTAATACTTTCTAAGTGGTTATGAGCCTATATAAACCCTATCCACACATTACTGCAAATATGCAATATTGAACTACCACATATGAAGATAATAAAGATTTATGTAAATCATCATTCATGGTAGACATTAACACATGAAAACCATTGAAAGAAGAGTACCTCATCAGCATCAATAGGGTCCCCCTAAAATTCTAATTAAAAAGGGGATAGAAATGCTATTGAGCTGGAATTAGGATGCAGACACTTTCATTTCGTTATTAATGCTGAAGCTTGGGTTAAGTTTATAGCCCAAGTTACAATTTCATAGCCGTTGAGCAACTTACTGGAAGTTAGGTAGTTGGCAGTTTAAATCTCACAAGAAAAATGCCAAGTTTTCCCCATAGCCACTATTAAGTAAACCAGCCACAACATCTTAACATTCTGTCGCAACACATTCCCTAGCTGTAAGCACTGGAAAGTTCTAAGTAATTTAAACATTTTCTGAATTAATCTACATTTACATTAATTAATACATAGGTATATTTATTAATATTTTTTTAAACATCCAACATGTCCTTTATCTCCACAGTACTGCCTGTTTCAAAATTCTGAACAATAACAGCAGGATTGTTCACATCATAGTTGATTAAAATAGGCATCCCTTTTCTAAGGCAGACTTCTCTGCAGTGGTTAAACTACCAAAATAGAGCTCCCTATGAAAGCAAATAATTGTGCTCTGTTGCTAAACTATTTTAAATTATTAGTGTCACTAGAAGGATATTAAGAATGTTTATACTGTAAAAGTTACTGACATAAATCTGAAGCTTGCGAAAGAAATTTCAGAGCAATTTCTGAAATACTGTGACTCTTGCCTATGTCCACAAACATTTTAAAAGCCCCGTAACAGAGAAGAAAATAATGCTGAGCCATAATTTCCTCAAACAAATTTGCCATCAAGCATCTCTACTTCTGATTGTCCAAAGAGGAACAACTTTTCATGAAGTGCCAAGTGGCTAACCACAAAATCAGTTTTTCCTGCAGTGATTTGTGATGACACAATTTCCCCCCCACCCCCACACAGAAGGTGGTCACCACTTCTGGAGGTCTAAGTCTACATATTCAGAAAAAATGAAACAAATTACTACCAAACAATACAGCCTCATAATGACAAAAAAGACTAAGTGTCCCTCCCACCATCCCCAGTATTTTTTAAAAAATTAGTTACATTTAAAGTAAGAAACGTTTTCTTAGTAAGATAGTCTTGATAATGATGCAAAACCAAGACAATTTCTTCAGTGGCATATTCAGTCCTGCTATCTAAAAATACAATTCATTTATGAAAGGTTTTGAGGATATGGAAATGCTTAGTAAGAAACATGCTTAAAATTATGGACTTCAAGTATTTAAGTTGAAGACAAACCTAGAATTTATTTTGGTTACATTTACCCTGAAACAATATTGTAGTTGAGAGCCGGGTGATCTTTTGGTACAGGAGGTACAAGAGGCTCTGGCTGCCATTCTTCAATCAACTCTTCTTTTTCCTGAACAGGAGAAAAAAAACATACTGCTCAAAAAGGATTCCCATTAGAAAAGACATTACGTGCTAATAAGCAGTTGGTAATGGAAATGATGTATGCTATTATGTGTCACCATTCTGAGATAGTCAGAATTGGTATTATCTCAGTATGTTCAACTGAGGGGCTCTGAATTGTTCAGAAGGAAGGAGATGTAAAGAAAGATAAGCCAGTTGTGCCTGTGCATTAAAGATGGTAAGACATGGCAAGACATCATAGTAGGACATAGTATTCAAGAGAAGAAATACTAATTTGGCGTCCTTGCCAAATTTTAATCAATACTGTTTCATTCAATCCATTAATTATGAAAATCCTCCTCTACAGTTTTTGTAATTGAATATAAATTGCCTCACTTTACATTATCAAGTATTCAACAGTGCTGTTTAAACAACTGTGGCATTAAAATACCTGGCAAAGTAACCGATACACAAACATGACACAATGGAGAAAAACTGCCAAATGCTCAAGAACTGGTAACAGTAACTACTAAACCACATATCCCTCAACTAACCATGGAGAAATACTAAACACATATTCATTTCCAAAGTGCTTTAAACTATTTGGAAAACCTCAGTTAGAAGATTTTCCAAAGGACATACAGTGGACCAGTATAACAGGTGCATTAGACCAATTCCATATAAATTAGCAACCACTCAGACAAATCATCAGAATCATCCTTCATATGATAAAAGCAGAAATTCCCTGGAGGATTATTTACTAGTATAGCAAAACATGCCTGATAACATATTTGTTAACGCACTAACTTTGAACAGTATGACTACAATGGGTTTGTATTTCTCTATTATTTCAAAAAGCAGTAGAATATTTAAGGCTACTTATTTCAATACCAAAAGACAAAATCTGCAATTGATTTTTGAAACCACCACAGCAATATCTTTTTCCCTTTTTATTTTTTCCAAATACACTTTTCAAAGACTCCCAAGTACAAAAAAAAAACACTAAGATGTGAAAAAATCAAAAGGAGACTACATGCAATAATACAATTAGTCTCTTGCACTTTCATCCCTTTCCTTTTACTAAGCTAGTGAACAACTTTGTTTCTAGGTGCTTCCAGAGTATTAATATCCCAGGCACTCCACAAAGGTCTATTTCAAAACACAAATGGAAGTTTCAATAGCCCTGTATTTCAGAAAAGATCCTTTTTATGTGAGCATAGTCACATGTATTTCTAACATTTTGCAGATGTACCTTAAATAGGTTTTAATTTAACTTTCTCAGATTTCTTAACTCAAACTTAACCCATGGTGCATACACCTTAAAGCAAATAAAATGCCATTAATATGTGCAATAGAACTAAATATATTCAATATTTTGAAGTGGCTACACTTATGATAGCAAGAGTCCTTAGTTTCTTCAGCCACCATAGGACAGACCCCTTGCACACAGTTGTGTATGCCTTAAAATGCTGTTCACATATTAAGAAAAGCATTAAAAGTAGGGGTTTTATTAATTTACTCTGTACTAGTGCCATTCATAGCATGTCAAATAGCACATTTTAATGCTTCAATTAAAAAAATCCACACAGATAACTGAGCACCAGAGAAAAGAACAATAATAAATTAAGCTGTGTGTAAATACTATTGATATTCACTACTGCATTCCATGCTCAAACCTCATGTTTGACATGACTCTGCAAATACCTCAAGAACCCTATAAGAGAAGATTACTAGATGACACACCCTATAAAGATTAACATGCAACACAGTACCAAAATGGTGGAAAAGTAGTACCCAAATTCAGTTTAATCTCAGAGTGGGTAACTCTGTATGCTAAACTCCACTGATCGAAGACAATGACTGGCAATTCCATCCTTGTCTCAGAACAGGTACTAGTGTGCACCTCTATACTGTATTGCTACGAAAAAAAAAATCAAAGATGTAATTTAACACTAAGTGTGCTGATACACAGCACTGCAAGGCAGCAGCTGCTACAGTACAGTCCTCTCCCTGCCACAGATGCATTCCTGTTTCTTGTGTTGGCATAGGCAGTTACAAAACCAGAAAATAACCTTGTTCAGAAAAATGATCCAGATGAAAATAAACTCAGCAAAAGCAGGGTGGGTATACAGCTGAACTAGATCTCACGACAAAGTAGTCCCAAACTAGACTGGTTGATGCTACTGGGAAACCATATCCCAAGCTACAGTATCTTCTACCTTTTCACAGGAGTTCAAAAAGACTTCTGAAAACCAGAAAGCAGGATATATGCTCATGCAGCCTTCACTCTGCTCCTACAACAGCTGGTGTCAAAAGGCCCCAGATCCCTGATGTACACTGTAGCCTGCATAAACAGTTTTCTGTTCATTTCAGAGCACAGGGTGCGGGTGGTGGTGTTTCAGTTCTTGTTTTTTGTTTTACTTAGGGAGCGGAACAAACCAAGTGAGAAGTGGTGCAGTCTGTCAGTTATGGAAGGATAAATAAGAAAACCATTAGATTACATCAAATGCCTAAAGGGGAATGACTTCGGAAGCATGGTGTTTCTTCTGTTTAAGACCTGAACACAATGAATACTTGAACAGCTCTTATGCAACACAGTTCAAAGGCAGAGCAGGCAACATAACGTACCTTTTCCTAAAGATGGCAGAATTAGAGCTGTGCAAGCATGTACTTAGCTTTTTCATTTAAGTCTAATTTTTTTAACTACATGCACAAAATACCACCAAGCAGCTTAGCAACTAATACACAAATTCAATTAAAATGTTTTTGCTGTGGAGTCTAGCAGAAAGGAAAATAGTATTTATGGAAGGACACTGTAACTACAATAAATTAGTACAGTATAACTGCAGTTGAGATCTGTGAACATAAAGATAATGAGCAATTCCTAATTAGTACTTCTCTCCCCCATTCATACTAAGTTGTAACAAGCCTCCATTCTTCCCTTTGAAATGTTTGCAGCATACAAACTAACAGCATAGTTGACAAGCCACAGATGAGATGTGGTAATATCCTGATTTTTTTCTTGACACAAAATAAGACTAATCCTCATTTCAAAGAACACCGCTTCACTAATTCCAGCTCACAATCATTCTCTTCATCCGTTACATGGCATTTTGCTTTTTGATGGACATAGGAACACAAACAACAAACTACTGCATCTTCATGTCTTATGTCTTCTGTTTCCACAGGTACTTAGCATAGGCAGTAGTATACCAAAAGCTTCTGCAATAGGAGTTCCTTTATGATGGTGGGGGATTGAAGATATAGAGTAAGGAGGTGACTGGTGACAGATTGCGTGGCTTTAATGAAGACAAATTGTGCCTAACAATTTTGGTGGCCTTCTACGACAGCGTTACAGTGTTGGTGGGTAAGGGAAGAGCAACGGACGTCATCTACCTGGACTTGAGTAAAGCATCTGACACTGTCTCACACAACATACTTGTCTATAAATTGGAGAGACATGGATTTGATGGATGGACCACGTGGTGGATAAGGAACTGGTTGGATGGTCACACTCAAAGGCTGGTCAGCAGCTCGATGTGCAAGTAGAGATCAGTGATGAGTGGCGTTCCTCAGGGGTCAGTACTGGGACCGATGCTGTTTAACATCTTTGTTGGCAACATGGACAGTGGCATCGAGTCCACTCTCAGCAAATTTGCTGGTGACACCAAGCTGTGTGGTGTGGTCAACACGCTGGAGGGAACTGATGCCATCCAGAAGAACGTGGACTGGCTTCAGAGGTGGGACCATGCAAACCTCATGAAGTTCAACAAGCCCAAGTGCAATGTTCTGCACATAGGTCAGGGCAACCCCAAGCACAAATACAGGCTGGGTGGAGAATGGATTGAGAGGAATCCTGAGGAGAAAGACTTGGGGGTGTTGGTTGAGGAGAAACTTAACAAGACCTGGTAATGTGCGCTCGCAGCCCACAAGGCCAACTGTATCCTGGGCTGCATCAAAAGAAACATGGCCAGCAGGTCGAGGGAGGTGATTCTGCCCCTCTACTCTGCTGAGACCCCACCTGGAGTCCTGTGTCCAGCTCTGGAGCCCTCAGCCCTCAGCACACGAGAGATGTGGACCTGTTGGAGCGTGTCCAGAGGAGGGCCACAAAATGATCTGAGGGCTGGAGCACCTCTCCTACGAGGACAGGCTGAAACAGCTGGGGCTGTTCAGCCTGGAGAAGAGAAGGCTGCGGGGAGACCTTACTGCAGCCTTTCAGTCCACGAAGGGGCCTCCAAGAGAGCTGGAGAGGGGCTTTTTACAAGGGCATGTAGTGATAGGACAAGGGGTAATGGCTTTAAACTAAAAGAGGGTGGATTTAAATTAGATCTAAGGAAAAAATTCTTACTATGAGGGTGGTGAGGCACTGGAACAGGTTGCCCAGAGAAGCTGTGGATGCCCCCTTCCTGGACATGTTCCAGGCCAGGCTGGATGGGGCTTTGAGCAACCTGGTCTAGTAGATGTCCCTGCCCATGGCAGGGGGATTGGAACTAGATGATCTTTCAGGTCCCTTCCAATCCAAACCATTCTATGATTCTATGACATTGGTGGTTAAAATGAATACCTATCTCAACCTAAAACAGCCATCCACACTGCAGATGGGAATACCTCCTCCTTCCACTCACCAAATATCTCCGCACACTGGCCTGTCCCATTGACTTTTCAGGGTAAACATGTCCATCTCCCTCTGACCAAATAGACAGAGCAGGAGCAGGCTTTCATACAGTGACCTCACATTCAGAACAGCACTTTTATCTTCTACCTCCTAAACAGGCACCAAATTTTAAATATATTTATCTAAATACATTCACATATATAGAAATAAAATGGTTTTGGGTGGTTGTATTTTGCTTGTTGTGGTTTTTACTTTTTAAACACCAGCTACGTTGGGTAAGAGAAATACTTTGGTGTAAACACACTCAACAAATTATTTCAATACATTGCTTTGTTCACCCTTTTTTTTAAGAAAAGGTAGCTATTACGTTCATAAAGACAGTTCTTACCTAGCACTAGTGTTTTGAAAGTGTCATACATGCATCTGTGTCAATATCCAAAGATTAATAATGTTCTTGTATTTGTTGTTCCTTAGATAACAGGTCTTTAATTTCATGGTATTTATAGAATCATACATTAGCATGGCATAAATTGGCACAAGCAATGGATATGCTATTTAGAATGTTCTCTCTTTCAAACTATGATAAAACTTAGAATCTTCACCCACGTAGGGAGTCTTGGCTTAAAATGACTGAAAACCTTTTCAAGAACGGATTATATCTGCTTTTCCCCGTAGAACAACATCTGATCAATCTCTGAATGCTGTTCCTGCAAGAGAAAGCCCTTGTGGCCCACAGTATTTCTCAGCCCACATTAAACATTTGTCTCTGACAGGAACTTTCCAGCCTCCTGACCTGTATTGCTCTAATAAAACTGTTCCCATGCAATTGTTTTATTATTAATTATTGTCCCTGCAATACTGCAGTGAAAATTCTAAAACTAAAGAAAACAACTATTCCTCCTATCCACACACGGTAAGATGCTGCTCCTAGTAGGACTTCAGAGATTTTGAGAGAAAAGCTCAGTATCATTTCTTACAGAGTGAAAGACACATACACCTGGAGAGCACCTTCCTTTCACACAAATGGTTGCTGGCTGGAGAGTGAGCTTGTAGCTAAATGACACCATGCAATCTCCCATGGCCTGCTCCAGTCCTCAGTGGCATTTTGCTGCTTTTCTATAGATTTTATTTTGGGTGAAAAGCCCACAAGAATCTTTATGTCTAGCACCCTGTCTGGCCACAGACTTATTTGTACCTCCCAAAATCCCAAACTATCAGGAACTTACAGTCACAGAGAAGTACTCCACCATTTTAGCTAATGATTTGGGAGAGATCATTATTTTGGAATAGAACCAATAGGAATACTTACAAACAATGTTATTAATGGATGACAGACAGACAGTTGAAAGTTGACTCCTGCACTGGATTTCGTACTACTCTTGCTACACATTTGACTAAACCCAGAAGCCACCTTCAGAGTGGATTTCTTCACTGTCACTAAGAGCGCTACGTTGCACAATCTACCATCTGCCTCTCGTTCCCCAGGACAGACCGGTCCTGACAGATCACACTAAGATAGCTGTGCAACAGTGGTATTCTTCAGTCACATTTATTATGTGGAGCCAGCTCTGCCCTGGCAGCATTCCCAACAATAATTCACACAGAAACTCGACGTATCATTACCTGAGTGGCTGACATAAAGGTGGCCTGAGCTCCATGCCTGCATTGGCCTATCTCCAGCGCCTGCACCTGAGCAAGCTAGTATTTCTTTCTGGTGACTGGACACCACAGCACGAACCAAACTAGGAACAAATCAGAAGACAAATCAGCTGCCTCCTCGTTGAACAGCTGGTGTGTTGCCACACATAGCTCAACACGTACACAGAAGTCCGGCTGTGGGGATCCCATACTGTATAAAACAGACTGTACTGGGTCTGGCTGGCATGGTGTTAATTTTCCTCATAGCAGCTCGTATAGCGCTGTGTTTTAGATCTGTGACCAAAACAATGCTGATAACACACTAACTAATGTTGTAGCTCTTGCTGAACAGCGTTTGCACAGTGTCAAGGCCTTCTGTTTTTCACTCTGCCCACACAGTGAGTAGACTGGGGGGTGCACAAGGGCTTGGAGGGGACAAAACCAGGCAGATGACCTGAACTAACAAAACAGATATTCCATACCATATAACTTCATGCTCAGCAACCAAAGGGAAAAAGGAGGGTTTAGGGAAGTTAACCACCTTCTGCTTGTGAACTGGTTGGGTATTGGTCCACCCACGGAAGGTGGTAAGTGATTGTCTTTACATCACTTGTCTTGTTTCTCTCTTCCTACACTTCTCCTTTGCTTATTACACAGTTTTATCTTCACTTACAAGTTTTCTTTTTTACTCTTCCTTTCCTCTGGCCGTGTCTCACTGGGGATGGGGGAGAAAGAGAGCGAGGAGCTGTGCAGTGCTTAGCTGCCTACTGGGGTTAACCCACAACACAGACCAGTGTCAACTATTCATGGATTTTCAGTGAAGATTAAGGTGTTTCCCCCCCTCCCAGTAATTCCCCTACACAAAATAAATGAGCTCTTTTCACAGCAATTACCGACGGTGTAGAAATAGAGATGGAACCACTCCACATCTCTGATGTATCAGTCTGCTTAAGTCCTCCAACTGCATTTGAGTTATTCACACTTCACTTCACTGTTGTATTTAAGCTTGCTTTAAATTAACCAACTGTAGACAAGACATTCCCTTCCAAATGCAGTACTTCCTATGGAAAGTTGTGTTTCCACCTTCAGAGGTCAATGGTAAAGCCAGCTAGACTAACTTAAATCTCCTTCATTGTCAGCCAACCTGAACATGCCATCAGACCAAAGAGCACTCCCCAACATTATTTTTTTGCCATCAAGATGCAGGTAACAAAAAGGTAGAGGTGTTGATGTCTTTAACATCTCAAGTCCAATCCTTTGCTGTAACACAGCTCTTAGCGCTCTACAAATTTTTTTCCTCCTGTGCCTTGCAACTGTGAATCAATATATCCAGTATCTATACAATGCAATTCTTAACTACTTTGGATTTTTGCTGGTATTCACATCCTTTTCTACCTTTCAAGCTCAGTAAAGTTTGTATAAATCTCATCAGAAGTATCACGGCAATAATGCATTTGCATGCTTTTATTCTTCAGAAAGCCTGCTACTGCTGTCCTACCAGTGAACTTTACTCCTGTCATCCTGCAAAAGTAGGATTGTTACTAAGCATGAGCCATTTTCACATGTTTTTCCCCCTTTTGACCCCCTTCTAAACCCCTGCTTCAACTGAGCTGCAGCAAACAAGCTACATGTGCAATCTTCCAGTAGCTCATTGTCCCCAGTTAAGAGGGCACAGAACAATTTTCTTCCCTGCATACCACTGTTCCAGACTTGTGTGACCACTTTCTTAAACACCTTTGCTTCAGCAAAACGGTCTGTCAGTGAATGAATGACATGACCTGCAACTGGATGATAACATTTAAGAAGCACAGAGGAACATGTAAGGGTAATCCTTAATCTGTAAGGAAGCGATAACTTTCAGCTTTTTCAGGTCACCAGTTATGCAAGAGTAGCGAAGACCTTTTTCTCACCATCTACTGCACAGAGAATGAACCTTTCAAATGAAAAAAAGTTATCTACCAAAATACCAGAGATCAAAACCATCTGATACAGGAAAACTCTACTAAACAAACCTCATGGTTTCTGAATGGGCAATCAGAGGCTAATTTAAAGCTGCAGCATGTTTTCCAAGTTGATGTGAACATTCAGCACTTCACCACACTGGCCTTCCCTTTGCGTTCCCTCCTCCTCTGTGTCTCACTAAAGGCAGCAAACTTCAAGAATCCCAGGATAAATTCAAACCCTTCCAAGCACAAAACTGAACTGGCCTTTCTTGATTGCTGCTCAGCTCGCTTCTCACCTCCAGTATTAAATGCCTCCAATGAACACATGCTAAAGTGTTCCCTACAGTGCTCTAAGCTCGTTTAGTAAGTACTCCCCAAAAGAGGACACTGCCTGCAGATTTGCACACATTTAGAGCCTTGTGCCTACAGTCCCTGCATCCCATTCACTAATGCATTACACCTAGGCCACATGCTTAATGACCTCAACAACCTTAGCAAGAATAAGATCAAAAAGCATGCAAGCGCGTGACAGATGGGAATGACAGGGTCACATACCCATAAATCTGCTTCACAAACCTTCCTCAGCACCACGAAGAAACTCTAGTGTTTTACCCCATTCATAAAAGATACCATCCCTCTGAAGCTCTACCAAACTAAGCTTGTTTGTTATACAGGACTTCAGATTGTTCAGATTAACCCCTCTCATACACAAGTTGGTTGTCACATCGCAATACATTGCTACTGTTCATCTTCGACTGAGAAAAATGAGTGTGTCTTTGTCCACCTCTCTATTTTCACATTCAGAGAGCGCATCCAATCATCCTTTGAATATATCCAATGGCATCCTCTGATACTGTGCAGCAAGCCCAACTGCAGATCATGTCTCAGACAAACTAGTCCAGGAACATCTCAAAAACAAACTCTACTCATTCCTGACAGTCACCATCCACAAGTCAGACAGAAATTCCAGTCTTTGCAAACAATTACAGCTTATTTTTTTTCTTGAGACAACTACTTTGCAAAAGAAGAAAACTGCTGCTAAACTACAAAGTTTTCCGGAACCCACATAACACTATAAACTCTCAGACTTCGTACTCACAGATACAACCTGTACAGTCTGATCGTTTCTCTACTCTCTACACTCTTATAGTACATTTTGTTTGGTGGGGTTTTTTTTTAGTATAGCTTCCATTTTTAAAACAAAGCCATCCATTGAGTAGAAGTAATGCCAATGTTTCATACCTTAGCAGTCACGGTCACATCAGTTCTTTAACAAATTCTCAAACTCTCCAACCCAGTGCTACTTCAAAAGCACGAACTCAAGCCTTCAAGCAATAAGATGATTCTTAGTCTAAAGTAAGCTTACCCTTTGAAATCCTAAGGAAAAACCAGCACAATTTGTGATGCAGCAGTTGTTTAACAGCCAAACGCATCAATAGCTATAAAGTGCTTCTCTAAAGAAAAATATTTTTTCACCATACCTTAGGTGTTAGATCAGATCGCTCTTGAAGCTTGTATGTCTTGGAGAAAAGAAGTCTGATTATCCATAGAATCAGAATTCCTTCCAAAATGAGATGGTAAGCAGGAGCCTGAAAACAAACGCACAAAAGTAAGTCTACGCAGAATTCTGTTTGAATCAGTGTGACACTGCAACAATTCTGTCTCTACTAGTACACTCAGAAAAAAAAAAGCTGATCATCAGCCAATTTGTACTTCTAAAGCAGTAAAAATTACAGTTACATGAAAGTGGATTGCTTTGCAACTGCTATTTGTAGCTGTTGAGTTTGAATGGAGTTCTTCTACCGTTAATAAACAAGGCACACTCTAAATTGGTAAGCGGTTTCAGTTCCACACATGCACATAAACTGAATATTGAGAGTAAAGGCAGATAAGCCGTACAGGTTGCACCAGTATCTGTGAAGACAGAAAGCTTTCACAACAAGCAGAAATCTCCTGAGAAGCCGAAGGTCTGTGTCATTTATACACACCCACTTCAACCCTACATTCTTACAACTTGCAGTCCACCAGCAGTGACAGCTACTGTCATTTACAAAGAAATGTAATCCTGTCCTCATAGCCCATTTTTATTAGTCTCACAGGCATTTTGATCAGGTATAACCCATCACAGCCACCAGAAGCAGTTTTGCCTCTGTGTCGTCTGCTCTCTTGTGCGGACACAATAGCTAGCAATACACACAGCAAACCAGAACAGAGAGCCGATCCAAGCTAAAGCTAGCCTCTTTGGGTGCTGGGAGAGAGGGAAGTCTCTCTTAGCACAGCTAATTTAAAGTGTATGTGGAGTTACAGCATCTGCATTTCACACCTAGTTTTAATGATGGGTTTAGTTATTCCATTTCAGAAAGGTTTCTGTCTGCATTGTAGATGTCTACCATTTTTAAAACACTCAAAGCGCACACAAACTAGTGCACTCTGTCTCCAACGCAGTGGAAGAGCTCCCACACATCAACTTTTTCTAGTGGGATCTGACCTGCCAAGAAAGGAAGTGGAATACACCACACATCCAGAAACTAAAGGAAATTGAACACAAGTTTTCAAAACCAGTAAGCAGTCCTATGGCATATCAAACTGCAAATAACGAATTTATCATTTGCAGAGTACTTTCAGTTCACCAAATGTATTAAGAACACCATGTACACCATTACGTCTAAAGAACACAGAGTAGCAGCAGAGGCATACACAAACTACTTCCCCGTGCTTTCAGTGACTACAATTATCCCGAATTCAGTGTGCTAGACTGCACTACCAGCTTAAGCAGCTAAGCACTTCTATCTCCATACTGCAAACCCTAGTATAAATTCTTAAAAAGTTACCAACCTTTGCCAAAGGAAAGGAGGTAAACAAACTGTGGATACCAGAACATCGCCTATCATCAGGACATAGTTTTTAATACCACAAAACAAAGCCTGGATACAAACATGCCATGCTGATCCCCTCCAGGGGAGAACTCAAGCATAAACATTTAGAAGTTGTTTCTTCCATTGTAAGTAACACTTGTAAGTTACAAACCCTGACCTTATATGCAAAGAACACTGTTGAATCTTATTAAAGTCCAATGCTCTGGCATACACCTCAGACACGACTTTATAAAGTTCAACACAGAGAAACGCTTTAGTGTGGGCATCCATTTTTTCAGCATATAAACACGGTGCACATACACGTAGCCACAGTTTGGCGAGTGCAGCCCATCACCC